TTCTCTTAACATGCCTTACCGTTCGGCACCTTTGGTGAATATTGATGAGTGGGCTTCCAAAGGATAAGAGCTACATTTCTTATCTTGTGTCCTTATTTTATTCACATATGCCAATATAAATGTCTTACAGAAGACCCAAATCCAAGAGCCAACTGGAATATGAATAATCGGCAAATAAAAGGGAACAAAGGCAAAACTGCATGACTACCGTTCGGTAGCCATTCCCCACCGATCCACTAGTGGACTTGCCCATTTATCTGTCGTTTGGAAGCTTCTGATGGCTGCCCATGTCAGTAATTCCTTCAAAGCACCCAAAGACCCAAGTCAACGTGACAGCACCACCTCAACAAAATTCAAAACTGCCATTCAGCAATACCTCCGTTTCAAGTCATAAGCCCTTACCGTTCAGTACCCCGCTTTGAATGGCTTTCACGGCTGTCACGTTGCATGGAAAATGGAGTAGAAATCTGTTCCAATCCTTCGGCACCCAAGTGCATTCCACCATGAGATAAGATTCCTATTCTTATATTGTATTATTTCAACATAATTGCAAGCATGCAATATTTAATAATTCACTGCAAAGTCCCATTCAACGATATGAATGGCAGCTGTCCAGATTCATTCACTTTGAAAAAGTTCCAATTTGGTAGTTGCCCAATACTCCAATTCACCAAAAATATCTTCTTCTTTTTGCATGGCTTGCATGGAGTACCCATACTGAAACCCCACATGCCTCGCCCCAAGGCTGAATTACTCAGAATTGTGTTCGGCAGCTCCTCCGGTGGCAGTTATATTTTGTCTTTTCTGGAAGCTCCATATCAGCAACTCTAAGAGCAGCTCCAGAAGCTCCCAAGTCTGCTAATTCATGGTTGGTCTTTGTCCTAATCACCGAACGGTACACCCATCCAAGATATTGCTCAAGGCGCCCAAGAGCCTTGAGAGATCACCATCTCCATGACGTGTGACCAGCTTTCGAACAGTAACTTCATAGTTAGCTTCAATGCGCATACCTCTCACTCTTATCTGAAGGCACATCACCAAACGGCAACACCGATGGACCTCATCTTCGGTAACCACCCACAGAGGATGAAGGCACCTGTTCGTAGCTAGCAAATCATATTACCGTTCGGTACCACCAGTTCTCAAAGCACCCACTTGGTCGAAATACCGAACGGCACACCCATCCAGGAGATTGATCAAGCCACCCAAAAGCCTTGAGTGTCCATCCTTCTCCATGTTACTCAATCAGCTACCGAACGGTAGACATGCCATTGGCTTTCTCAAAGCACCCACTTGGTCGAAATACCGAACGGCACACCCATCCAGGAGATTGATCAAGCCACCCAAAAGCCTTGAGTGTCCATCCTTCTCCATGTTACTCAATCAGCTACCGAACGGTAGACATGCCATTGGCTTTCTCAAAGCACCCACTTGGTCGAAATACCGAACGGCACACCCATCCAGGAGATTGATCAAGCCACCCAAAAGCCTTGAGTGTCCATCCTTCTCCATGTTGCTCAATCAGCTACCGAACGGTAGCCATACCACCAGTTCTCAAGGCACCCACTTGGTCGAAATACCGAACGGCACACAAAGTGCAACATGGATACAACATAAATATGCCTTCGGCAAAATATTTCAGTCACTCACAGAGTGACCAAGCGGTACAACTCGTACCACATTGCCTTTCGGCATATACGCATCATTACATGCGCATCATTGCCATCGGTACATCTACATCATCATCATTCGCATCATTGCCTTCGGCACATATGCATCATCCCATAAACATGATTGCCTTCGGCACATCCATATTTACATCAAAGAAAACCCAAGACTATTAGCCATCGGCAATAGCCATTGGTAAAGATCATCGGCTTACACGCCAAAGAAAAGAAGATCTAAGCCTATTAGCCATCGGCAATAGCCATTAGTCATGACCTTCCACAAAAGCTCAAAGACCAAGAGCTACCGTTCGGCAAACCATATCAATCAATTGCTCAAGATATGCAAGATGTCCAAGTCAAGACAAAGGAGGCCAACCATTATTTCAATCCAATGGGAAGCTCACGTGGTTCACTCTCCAGGAGACAAGACACCCATACACCTACCGTTCGGTAGGACATGGTTGAGCTAAGTAACGTGCCCAGACCTCCTGCTGATTGGCAATTCAATACATTATGCCTCACAGCTGATGACAGCCCGTCATGGCTCCGAAACCTTCTGAACTTGCTGGAGTTGATTCATCTTCAGCTCACTCCATCGAAGCCCCTCTCACTTGTCTTGCCGTTCGGCAAATCAAGATAATTGAGCCAACAGACTCCATCCTCAGCAATTGCTCCAATCTTTCAAAGCAGCTGAGCACATGCGTCTGCAAAGGCACCAAGTAAATAACCCCTGCGGCAAAGCTATGCAGGGGGACTTGTCCCACTAATGGCAAATCAAACTACCGATCGGCACCGCAAATTACAGTCTTACTGGGCTACCTCTCATCTCTGCTAAAATTTCTCAAGTGGACCAACCAAGAGTGCCAAGTTTTCAAGTTTTCAATAATCCAAGGCTACAGATCAAGAAAAAGGAGAAACGACATCGTTACAAAGCTCATCAAGTGAAAGGCCGAAAGCATAGCTCCACTGCTTCCACAACGGATACCGTTCGGGAGCTGGTCTTCCCCATCATGAGCTACGCTCTCGACACCCGTCATCCTACCGTTCGGGAGGTCGACTTCCGAGCTTGCAAGTCCCACCAAATTTGCCTATTTGCCTGCCGAACGGCAAGACAGTGGACAGTGAGTAACCATACTTGCTGCCAATTCTCCATCAATTTCAGAAAGCTCAGAAATCAGAAAACATGCTTGCTTGCTGCTTAATCATGGGATGCCTTCGGCACCCACTTACTCCATCTCACTAAGAGGTGCATGCGATCTATATGGATAATGTGGCTTACTCAATTTATACCGAACGGTAATTTGAGTGCTGCCTTTGAATGGCCACCCAAAATACCAAGCGGCAAAGGCAGAAAAGTCTTCTCACAGCTCCAAGTAATTAGGTGCGAGCGTTGCCTTCGGCAACCACCCATCGTTAGGCGTGAGCGGTGCCTTCGGCAACCACCCATCGTTAGGCGTGAGCGGTGCCTTCGGCACCCCCGCCATCATTCGGCGCGTCCGATGCCTTCGGCACCCTCTCCATCATTCGACGAGTGCAATGCCTTCGGCACCCCGTCATGATTCGGCGAGTGCGATGCCTTCGGCACCCCGTCATCATTTGACAGGAGCGATGCCTTCGGCATCCTGTCATCATCTGACGAAAGCGATGTCTTCGACACCCTGTCATGATTCGGCGCGAGCGGTGCCTTCGGCGCGAGCGGTGCCTTCGGCACCCCCGCCATCATTCGGTGTGAGCAATGCCTTCGGCACCCCGCCATCATTCGGCGTGTGCGATGCCTTCGGCACCCCCGTCATCATTCGACGAGTGCGCGAAAGTTGCCTTCGGCACCCTGTCATCATTTGACAAGAGAGATGAGGCGATGCCTTCGGCCCCCTGTCATTATTTGATAAAAGCGATGTCTTCGGCACCCTATCCTCATCTGACGAGAGCGATGCCTTCGGCATCCCGTCATCATCTGACAAGCGATGCCTTCGGCATCCCGTCATCATCTGACAAGCGATGCCTTCGGCACCCTGTCATTGTTGGACAAAGAGAGTTGCCTTCGGCACCCTGTCATCATTTGACAAGAGGGATGCCTTCGGCACCCTGTCATCATCCGACGAGAGCGATGCCTTCGGCACCCCGTCATCTTTCGGTACCCTGTCATCATCCGACGAGAACGATGCCTTCGACACCCTGTCATCACCTTCGGCACCCTATCATCATCTGACGAGAGCGATGCCTTCGGCATCCCGTCATCACCTTCGGCACCCTGCCATCATCGACGAGAGCGACGCCTTCGGCACCCCGTCATCATTCGGCACCATCGACACTACACTACTTGGAAAGAAGACTAAGGTGTTGCTCGGTCAATGCACTGAAAATTGCAAGTCCTCAACCAAGGAGTACCT